GCTTTGTCCTCTGGTTGGCTTTTATTCCTCATGGAAAGATTCCTTTAAAGTCATTCTTCTTGCTACTGGCTCCTCTAGGCACACCGGAACTCCAATGTTTTGGCTTGCTTTTCTTCATAGTTCAGTTGCATCTTCAATCCCTCCTTTCTATATGTGCCATCTCCAGTCTTTGCACGGGGTCGCCATAGTGTAGTTTGACCAGGGAAGACTTGATCTCACACCAACACTCATGTCAGGCGAAATGTCATTTTGCTAGGGCATTAATCATGCATGTGTGCATGCTTGTACACACAGCCAACAGAAGGGGGTATATGAGTCCCTAGGAGTTCACCAAAAGTGCACGGTTTCAAGTGTGAAGGGTACATAGTGCCCCATGCAGGAGCAAGACTGATCAGGACTCTGGTCGTATCTGTACCACATTCCACGTTCCCCTACATGCTGGCCTCTTCACACTGCCAGCATGTTCCCAGTGTTGGCTACGGTGAGTGCAGAGAACAGCTCCCTGCCCTGACTCCGTCCTAGAAGAAGCTACTTTCTCAGTTGAGCCCCACGCTCTCAGAGCTGTATTCCTCTGGGGGCTTGGATGACCAGTCTCTCCTTGGCTGGAGATCTTCTCCAGCACTAATCTTACAGGTGACTTTGTACCTTTGTCTCCTGGGACCTTGGTCATCTAACCCAGTGCTCTGGGCATTCACTGAGCTCTTAGCAAATGAACGTACTGATGAATGTGTGCTCCAGATGGCTGGGAGCCACGAAACATAGCCTGACTCGTGTCCCTGCTTTGCTTTAGGTTGTCTGTGGTAGAAACGTCTGTCCAGAATCTCAGGAGATCTTCTGGGAGCAAACCACGTCATGCAGGCCTGTCAGCTTTAGAACACAAAGTGTCAACTTGTGTAAACAAATGTCTGTGCTAAGTGATCTCACAATGGGAGAATTCAGAATGTCATGGCATGTGCTTTTGAGCTGGTTTGTAAGCCACAAGTCAATTCTCTCAGGACTGGAAAAGATGGCTGTTCTTAGAAAGGCCCTCAGAAGCCACAACTGGAAACTGCACTTTCCTCTGAGCCCGAAAACAGAAAAGACCTGGGGAACGGTCCAGCTTTGATTCGTTAAAATCCATACCGGGTAGAGGGAGAGGGTTGGGCGCCCAGGAGAGCGTCAGCTCCATCAGCTCATTTCAAGGACACTAATGCCCTTTTGTCATGGTCAGGTGCCCCCAAGATGACTTTTCTACTGACCATGGAACTCACCAATTGCTGCGGAAGGAGCAATTACCAACAAAACCTCTTCCCACTTTTTCCCTTCAAAGCAGTATAACCCGCATTTCAAAATATCTTCATCAGAAGCCAACACAGATGGAAAGGAGAAACGCTGCTGGCCGTGGAGCTGGGTGAGAGCACAGTCAGCTCCCGCTTGGGAGGGTGCAGAGCCGGGTGTATAGACTCAGAGAGCATGGGCCAGGGGCTTGGAGTGCGGAGAATAAAACCTTAACCTGTCAGTGTATCAGGATGGGAAGGTGGGGAGGGCGGTCTTTACTGTCACAAAGGCTCCGGCAGAATGCAAAAGGAACTTAAAACAGAAGTATCCCTAGGGTCCAGAAATGCTTCTTGTGAACCCCATATCATGAGTCATCCATGAATCCACACCAAAACCCCGAAGTCATTTCCTGAACAAAATGGGAAAGCATCAGCTGATTCAGATAACAAAGGCAACTTGACCTTCCGAACAATTTCACTTTTGTGATTGGGAGAGTTTAGGAGGCAGAGGGGGCGCAACAATGGCCCTTCTCGGGAGAGATATCCCTTAGCAACACATTCATAGCACGCTGATGTGTTAGTTAGCAGTGCACTAATGCAGCATCTTAAGCCACTCTAAACCTGGGTTTTCACGTTCATGATCTCTTCTGACCTGGAAGATGCACAGCCCAGCAGGTAATGTGGCTGCAATAAGCTTGCACTCTTGGGGCAACTGAGGGCAGCAACGGGACCGAAAGCCAACACACTGGCTTCCTGCCCTTCTTATCCCTGTGTGGCATTGGCAATGACAGGACAGGTCTGACCACTATTCCCCAAAGAAATGTGTCTCCCCCTCATTTCAATTTGCATTTCATAAACCATAGGGGGGAAGCGAGGCTTCAAGGGGATATTTTTGGTGTAAGTTGACCTACGGTATCTAATGGGATCAAGCATGGTTGTGGGTAAAACTGGCTTCCCTTCTGACCTCCCTTGAGTGCATATGGCAGCTGGTAGAATATTCTCAGTGTATTTCAACTCATTCCAGTCCTACGAAAAAGACAAACACAATATTCTTGTAAAGCAGTGACCAGCAAAGTGGGTCATCACAAGGAAGCAAATAGGAATCTAGTGCCTGCACGGTTCAGAGGTGACTTCCTCCCACCCAACCAGACTTTCAGCCACCACCTGCCTCAGGCTCCCTTCTCCCATTGCCACCTCCTGCCTCATGTATTCAGAAGTAGTTTCTGGGTCCCACAGCGACAGTTTCTTTAGAAGAACATGCTCCAACCCATTTGCTAGCTCAGAGTGTCTGCCAGTCCGCACAGTTACCACACCGTTGCACAAGGATCAGGTTCCCACGTCTTCACAAAAGCTCTCTTGATTTTTAATCTGTTTATCCAGTAATGGTCACTCTAGTGGATGGATAGTGACATTTCCTTGTACTTTTGAGTTCATTTCTCCAAGACAGGTGGCACTGGGCAGCATTTTCCACAAACTTATTAGCCATTTGTATACCTTTGGATAAACGTTTATCTAAATCTTTTGCTCATTTTTACTTATCTTTCTGTCATTTCATTGGACATGTTTTTATATGTGTCTGGACATGAACACTTGTGATGTGCAGTTTGTAAATATTTCCCCCTAATCCAGAAACTGTCTTTTCACTCTATCATATTCTTTGATGCATGATTAAAAGATTTATCTATTTTTATTATTTTCATTTTATCAGTGCTAGTGGTTTGCCTGCCTATGAACCTTGTGCTGGTGGTACACAAGAAAACCAGGAGAGGGTGTTGGATCACCTAGAACTGCAGCCATGGACAGTGATGAGCAGCCGTGTGGGTGCTGGGACTCGAACCTAGGTCCTCTGCAAGAGCAGTTGCTTTTCATTGCTGAGCCATCTCTCCAGCCCCTGTGCAGTTTTTAATTTTAACAGTCATGTTGTAAAGTTCAGTTTATTGCATTTTTTTCTATTGTTACAGCCAAGAAATCATCCCTGAGTCCGGCACTCTTACACTGCTTTCTCCAAGAGTTTTAGAATGTTTAACTTCACATTTAGACCCCGACTCATCCGGAGGTATGTTTTGTGTGTGCTGTTTATTTACTTTCACATGTGGACACCCAGCTTCTCTACTCATCCGGAGGTATGTTTTGTGTGTGCTATTTATTTACTTTCACATGTGGACACCCAGCTTCTCTAGCAGCCTTTGTTGGACAGCCTCCCCCAGCTTCTCTAAATTGTTGGACCATGTGCTTGAGGATTCATTTCTGGACCTCGCTTCTATTTCTTGGACTACACACTGTGTTTAGACCACAGTGAAATGTGCTCTTCTTCCCTGCAGGTCTATGGTGAGTTTTGAAATGAGGAGTTTGGAGCATCCACTGTCCTTTCAAGGGAGTCTGGATGTTATGTGGCCGTGGAGATTTCGATAGAATGCAGAAAGGTATTTTCCATTTTTGCAGATGCAACTTTGTTGAGATTTTGATAGAGATAACATGGACTCTATAGTTTACTTTCACACATGATGTATTAGTGTTTTAGTGTTGAATTTTCAATCCACTAGTGCAGGACACCTTTCTAAGTCTTTGTTTATTAAAAATATCTTTTCTGTAGTGTTCTATGGTTTTCAAAGTACATGTCTCCAATGTACCTTTAATAAACTCATTTTTCAATGTGTTCTAAATTTGTGATTAAATTGCATATTGAATCTTTCACTTTTTATTTTATTTTGTATGTGGATGTTCAAGTAGGTGTGTGTGAGGTCAGAGGTCAATGATGATATCGTCCTCTGTCTTTATATTTTAAAATATTTTATTTGTTATTGTTATTATTTGTGTGTGTGTCTGTGTGTGTGTGTGTGTGTGTGTGTGTGCAAGCACGTGCAGGTGTGTGTGTACAGGCAAGCCAATGTCATGGAGATTGTGTGGAGATCGGAGAATTGGGTAGTCAGTTCTCTCCTTCCACTATAAGATCTGGGCATTGACTTAGGTGGTCAAGTTTTATTACCCACTGAGGTATCTCCCTGTACTTCCACCTTATTTTCTTAGAGTTCAATGACTCTTTTCCTCATATATACCAGGGGCTGTTCCTGGACTTAGAGGTCACTGATTCAGCTAGGCTGACTTTCCAGCAAGCCCTAGGGACCTTCCTTTTTCTGCTGTCCCCACCACAACTGCAACACTAGTCACATGTCAACGTGCCTAGCCGTGTGTGTATGTATGTATGTGTGTGTGTATATGTATGTACATTGGAGATGGAAATCAGACCTGGGTCTCCTTGCTTGCTGACTGCTGAGCACCATCCCAGCAAGGCAATCCTTCCCCAAAGTCCCTTTCAGATAGCATCTTTCTAGTTTCTTAAACCCCAACTGATTGCTTTGTGTGTGTTGATTTTCTTGGTTTCTCTAAACAAAATCTAAGAGGGCATCATAGGCTTGCTATGATAAGGGATGTTAGGCCCTTGCAATACAGCCAGCAAGTCTTTCTGGGGGTGCCTAGATTTCTAGAGCACAGCTCCACTTTGTGTACAGATAGGGTCGACCCCAGTCTGTGACCTGGTAGGCCCTGGAGTTATCATGAGACTCAGAGCAGCCCCAGAGTCATGAACTGGCACATCCAAGGTCTACAGTGCATTAACCCACAGTGAGGATTTGGGTCAGTCTGCTTCAGTGCAGACATGTCTCACCTCATGCATGTTCAGTCCTGTGTGGCCGACAGATATCATTAGAAAGTGAACCAGGAGACAAACCACAGTCCAGTAGCCTAGAGAAGTCAAGTTTCCTGTGGAGGTAGGTGGAGTTACAGGCAGTTTGGGCTAGTGTAGATTTAGGCTGCAGGAAGAGTGGCCCCCATCCCAAAGCCACTGTTCACTGTCAAGTTCAGGCCAGTAGAATGGCTACTGATACACCAGGCTGCGCCAAGGGCTCCTGGGTACCCCTTTCCTCATTGAAACCTGGTTCCTACTGCATTTGACCTCTTCAGTGTGGGGCCTCCTTTGCTTTCTGACTTCCAGTCTTCTAAGCACACACAGGACAGGCTTCTGGGCCAGGTCTCTGTAGCATGCCTTAGTCCAGATGGGAGTTTCTTGTAGGAGGCAGAGATGTTTCCTTTGTTTGATTTGCTCTCCAGCCTTTGCAACTCAGGATATAATAATTCCATCTTAAAGGGAAGAGGTTGGGGGCTTGATCTGCTCGCTGACTCTGTGAGCTTGAAGGCCACAGTGGTCTGGGTCTCTGGTATTGCGTTCTCCATGAGAAGTCTTCTTCTTTAAGACATGGCCTGGAGAGGAAAACCAATGCTTGATCAACCAACTCATGACTGATGGATGCAGACTGCACTGGATTGGAGGGTCTTGATAGAGCACCTTTAAAGCCCTTATTTGACTGCTTATCAGGACATCCAGTCACCTTACTCCTTCCTATGCCACATGGCTTCTCTATGAGGTAAATAAAATCTCGACATTGAGCTGACCTGGAGCTTCAGGAGTGGCACTGTCTAGGGTGAACTCTCTTTATAGTCTGAAGATCCTGGAAAGCCTTAAGATATCTGAGGCCTGCTAGCTAAACAGAAGCTTCTCCAGCACCTGTGACAGATAAGGAGGCACTGTTCTTCCTAGCCACAAATTAAGGTGATATTGATGTTAGGGAGAACAAGCAGTCAACCATGTTTTCTGTGGATGGAGGATGAGTTTGCTGCCGACCCAGAAGAGTCTGAGGTTATTGATAAATGACTTTCCACACTGAGGGTAGGGTAAAGCTGGAGATGCAATGCCAACGGTGGAGGGATATGGCAGGAGGGGTGAGCCCAAACTGAGGATGACCATAGAGGACCCTGGCTTCTGCAGTTGGGAAAAAGTACTATGGATGTGAGGAACAGTGGGTTTGTGTTCCTTGATTCTGAACCCTAGGCTAAAATATCCCCCTGGAGACTGGCCTGGGATAAGCAGGGTACCCTGGCTGGGAGGTAGAAGATGAAGCCCAGGGCTGGTCCTGGAGGGTCCAGGTGGGAGCAGGAAGACTGTCCAAGGCGATTCAGCACTTGGAGAATGCTCCTAGGTTCAGACATGTCTGCAGCAAACCCTCAGAGCAATGGCTCCGGGAGAGCGTGGAAGCAGACTTTCTAGAACAACACCCCACTTTGAGGTTCGACCACTTACTTCCTCTTGCTTCTTGGTAAACAGAAGTATGTGCAATGGTTTCTGAGGTGAGAGCACATCCATTCTGTTAGAGGCAGGAAATGAGCAAGGCACATAAAATACATGCCCAAGTCAGTTATCAACAACAAATTGTAAAGAACCTTAAAGCAATCCATGGGTGTATGTATACTTGTACTGTTTATTAAAGATGAAAGCAGGTTTACATACTAAGACAGATTGATTCATATATTGAGAATTCGTCTTGGCTAAATATTGGATTCTGCAGGACCTACAGTCTATCTGTGTGCCTGTTTGTGAGTGTGTATGTGTTTAAATCATTCTTTATCCACCTTCTTCAAGAACCCTTATTCACAAACCATGGCCAAAAGGTGGATTTGAGGCTGCCATTGTGCTATTGTTGGAACAGGCCGTATGCTGAATCAAATGGAAAGACCATGGTTGAGCTGCCTTTATTATGAGATGCATATACAAACCCTTCCACACAGATCTTTACACTTTCATTTTAAATTGTTCATGCATTGTGTGGAAACAAGGCTCAGCGTGCACTCAAGCAGAACTCGCTAATGGCCTTGGAGGAGTCATAAAGAGCTCGTCAGGGCACCTGGGGATCATCACACTCTTCCACTAGGAGCCTTGCTGTAATTGGTTACTGCTAAATGGTGAATTTGGGGTGACACACTGCCAACAGCAGCCACTGTGAAATCTTCTAACACCCAGGAAGAAAGGTGTTGAGCTAGCCTTGCACACTCAGTATGTGCAGACTCTGATGAAGAAATGGTGCACTGCAGGGCACAATTTATTTATCACCCAGTGTCATGTCTGTGCATGAGGTAAACCAGAAGAACTGGTGGAGATGCAAAGAAGTGTGGGCGACTGCAAGAGAAATGCTACCATGTTCTCTGAAGACTATTGTCCATCCATCCTACTGTTGACATGGAGCTCATATTATACCTTATTTTCTGAAGACTATTGTCCATCCCTTCTACTGTTGGTATGGCCCTTGGGTTAATCTATAGTTCATTGGACACCTGTCTATCTGCTCCACTGTTGGAATGACATTTGGGTTATGCTGTGGTTTGAATAAATGTGCTCCTGAAGTTGGCATGGTACATAGGCTTATGACTCTTTGATGTTTGGAAGGTAGTGCTACTTTAAGGATGTGGGTCCAGGTGGGAAAACTTGCAATCATGAGTAATCCTAGGCTCTTCCATCTCCTGCTTTCAGATTCAGAAATAAAGCAATCTTGCTCTGTCATGTATTTCTGGCATCACTTCTTTCTAAGTTAATTGCCTCAGGTATTTTGTTACAATAAAGATACCTGACAAATGACTGTTTTTACTTGGTTTATCAAAAATAATGTTGTGATAGACAGCATCAATGTGTTGTCTTTCCAGCATACCATCCTCTGTGCAGACCAGTTGCAAAGCAACTTCTCATAAAGTATGTGTACATTTACCTGTGGTGGTGGTGGCATTTCTACCCTGTTCTCTCTCAACAGTCTTTGCCGCTATCCCTCTGTTAAGTCTGACCATTGAGACAGGCCCAGGATTAACTCATTAAGACTTCATTTATCCAAATGACCCAGAAGATGATCATAGCTTTGAACACCTTATTGACTATTTTGTCTTGGTGTTTCGTTCAGCGTCTCGATTTATTTGTATGTGATTGCCTATTTTTTTTATAATCAGTCAAGACTTCATTTTATATTCTAAATACAAGCTTTTACTCAGATTTGTGTTGCAAATGTCTTTTTTCTCTCTCTTTGCCTCCATCCCTATCTGTGCCTCTTCCATGGCTTTGATTACTAAACAATTTTTGAAATAATTTAATGTAATATGAATTTTTAGACTTCTTTTTTATGGACACAGAAAGTGTGTTTATGTGTGTGTGATGTTTTAGACGCCTTCAGCAGTCCTGACTTCATGTTTTTATCTTAGGTTTATTTGTTCATATACCAATTCAAATTAAGTGATGAATATATTATGCATTGAGTCCACCTTGGCAAATCTAAATCTATCTATTGTAATGTTAACCACAACTATAAAGATATATGCAAATACATTTACATATACATCAAAGTATATATATGTGTGTGTGTGTGTATACACATATACACATTTATATGTCAACACAGACTCAAGGGTGCAGAACAAGGTATCATCAGCTATAGAGTCCTTCCATTTATGGGAATTGACCACATGCCACTTCATGCCATCTGACCCATCTTCACCACCCATCCACCCATGAGAGTGCGATCTCTCTCTCTCTCTCTCTCTCTCTCTCTCTCTCTCTCTCTCTCTCTC